TCAGCATTTTAATGATAGATGAGACCATTATGGAGACAATTCTTAATTCGCCGCATTCGCAGAAGCGTTCTTGAGTGGCTAACAGTCTTATGCAGGCAACGTTTAAGTCGTGCAGGTTGAGCCCCACCAAATGCGATGCACATTTTGGACGAGGTCGGGTGGGAGGCAAATTGACCATCAATGGTATAAGAATTGTTTGTTCTTCCTCGTTCAATTCGTTGAGGTATTTTTTGACTACAGATTCACGTGTTAGGGGAGGGTTTTTCCATATCATGGGTAAAACAATATCATGTAATAATTTGTTGACCAACAACACACTATAAAGACTCTTATTATCGTCTTTGACGAAGGTTAAAATTTCACGAATGCATTCTTCTGGTAAGTCTATAAGTTTTTTACTGTCAGGGCTCATATTTCGACTCATATTTGAAGTTTTTTATTTTATTTTTTTTTTGCCTGCGTGCGTTTGGGATTTTTATTTTTTTTTGCCTGCGTGCGTTTGGCTGTGTGTGTTGGGAATTTTTTTTGATGCTTAAATTTAAAAAAAAAGGTTTAAAATTTATGTTACAATGTTTATTATTCGTATTCCCTCCATATCGACTGCCTTAAACTGACAATACCCGAGTCCTTTACATTCCACCAATTTTAAATTTATAATAGACCCTAGGTATAGTAGATGGTTGAAAGGCTATATTATTTATATATTATTAAAAGGAAAATTCAAGAGTATGCATATTTCTTATTTATAACAGGCAATCTAGAGGCAATCTAGACGTTTAAAAAAACTGAATTTGGTCATTATAGATTCCACGGTTCGCACGCGAGTATGTTACATAGCGGGTTTACTATCATATGAGTTTTCGATGTTTTCAACGTTTACAACTATCTCGCATTCTTAAAAGTTGACACATATTGACTAATTAGAAAAGATGAGTTCTAAAATGACCCTTCTTTTACGACTAGATTACAATTGGAAGAGAGTGTCAGTATATGCGTCAAATGCGTCAATACCCTGTTATCTCTCGTAATCTAAAATCATGTGTTCTTCAAGGCTGACGGTTTTTTTTTTTTTTTGTCATCTTATATTTGATACACCTGGTGTGACTGACTATATGCAACTTATGTTTATAAGTTTAAACTTTATAAATTTTCACTAAAGATCTACATTTATATACCAGTCCAGTATATATGTATATATACCAGTATGTATATAATATATATATATATATATATATATATATTTATATTTACAGTATCTACATTTATGTGTGTGTAATCAAATTATTAAACGTCTTTTCTGTGTAGCTCTGTAATTTTCATAACGAATATCCGAATATCTAAATAATCCCTAATAATCATTAATAATCACTAATAATCACTAATAGTCGCCAAGATTTTTTTACTACAGTATTACACTAAATTGGTACGTATAAAAACTTAACCAGTATTTCTAGGAACCAGTATTCTACGTATATAGGAAAAAAAAATTTAGGTGAAGCAATATTTAAGCATAATTACAAATTTAAATTTTAATAAACATATGAAGATTAATTTACAAAATTATCAATCATACTGGTTGCCCGATATGGCTTATCTCAAACTTGGAGAAAAAAATCGATTTTTCATTTTTCTCTAATCCTATTTAATATACCAAAACCAAAATAACTTTAGCTATTCCCGCCTTTTAACTTTTTTTTCTTTTTTATGAAATATTATTTACTGTATACTGTATGAATGAATATCTGTCTATTGTCTATTGCTGTATTGATAAATCTATCTCTATTGAAAAGTTTATGAATAAGTCTATTGAATATTGATAAGTCTATTGACAAGTCTATTGATAATTTTTATTCTTACATTTATAAAATCATGTTTCATGTGAATGTTAAAAAAGAAGCATTTTGACTGTTAAATTCTTTGAATTTGAAATTATTCTAAATATTTACGCATGCATCCGAACTTTCCGTTACCTATGTTGCCTATTGGTTCGAAATTTTTTCATATCGTGTAATGCTTTGTTACATGCGCGTTAATGTTATCTCTACTGTTTTGATTTTGAATGACTATTTTTACTATTGATTTACTGATAAAAATATTTATATAAAAAAAAAAAAAAAAAACTGGAAAAACGTTATTTGTTATAACATGTTTCCTAAAAATGTTCAGTTAAACAACTTTAATATAATGTATCAGTGTAACGAATAAACGGTATACTGTTCATAAGTACTGAATCCAGTCAAATGGCTGGACACCGCACTAAATAAAAAACGTAATTAATAACAAATTTGATAAATTTGATGAGTTAGAACGCAAGATGAAATTCTCAATGACTCATTTGTAACAAATAGGCATGAATCTATTACGCAATTGCGTAATTCAGTATTTTATATGAACAAAAGATGCTAACGCCAAGGCAATTTGGTTTTTTCTTTCAAACATCACGTGATAATGAATCGTCGAAAACCTTCTACACATTGTATCACCGAAAACTATCACTATCGTTATTATACTCGCTGTTTTTGAAAATGCAAACAGGCTGGTGAACTGGTTTGAAAGTATTTCGACTGTAATCTAGTCAAAAATCTCATGATTCAAGCTTGTACATTGATTCCTTTATCGTACGTACTTGGTTTGGTCATTGTCGAACGTACGTACGTAAGACTTTATCAGGCGTGCATAATCTTGAATTACACATTTTACTAAATAAGTCAAACGCCTTACATTAAACCCAACATTGTTAAACTAAGTTAAACCCTATTTAACATATAATCGATGATTCGACCAGGTTCAAGTACCCAAAAAGATATCTGATTCTGATAAGTATTTCAAGAGAATGTTGCGAGCCCCATTGAAATCTCTATCCATTGTGATTTTACATGAAACGCAAGATGATCTTTTAGCTCCTTTTATATTATTTCTAAAATCGCAATTACCACACGTTTGACTAGTATACTCTTCACTACAAACGATCACGTTCTTATCATAATATTCTCTAATATTCTCTTGATTTATATTTCATAAACTCTAAAGTGATAATGACCCTATGTCGACATAGCACGAGCCATTTTACTGTGAATCTTCTATTCTTTCTTTTGACCATATTTGAAATACCGAATTCAGGGTTTAATATCGTTTCATAATGATTCAGCAACCATTTTACTAGTTTATAATGATTTTTATTTCTTAGGTTTCTAGTTTTTAATACTATTCGATATATTTTTTTTTCCTCAAAATTATATCTATCATCTTTTTTGGTGGCTAAATCATTTTTGAATTTATCACACCGCTTGAATAATCTAAATATCTTTCATAATCTTTACTATGTGGCAAATGTTCTTCCATCAGGATTAATATAGTCAGAACTCCCTAAATGCAGGCCGTTGGGGCCAGCTCTAAAGCGTGCATTTAGGGGGGTTGCAATTAGAGAATAACCAATAATATTTCAGTATTATCATAATCACATAATATTCTACGTATTAAATTTCAGTATTATCATAATCACATAATAACATTAATATATATATAATTAACTTTATTGTTTACTAAGTAAATGTTACTTTTAATAAAATTGACCCAATATTCTCGAAATATGAATAATAAAAATATCTTCGCAACTATATAAATTTTTTTTACAAAATATTATATAGTCACGAAGACATTTTTAAGAAATATTAGGCCGATTTTAGTGTTTTTATTATCATTAGAATCGTAAAAATCTTCTCTACAACTTTCATTAGAAGCCTAAGAAATATTTATTTAGTAAATATTATCATATTTTATATAAATTATAGAGTATAAATAAAAAAAAATAATTAATTGTATTTGATATAATAATAATCATGTGATTGCATTTATAAAGTGGATTTATTATATATAGGTCAAAAAAATAGTATGTATTTAGAGAATAAAAAATACGCATTTATCTATAAGGTTCAATATTAGGGATGTTAAAAGTCCAGTCCGGTCCAGTCCCAGTCAAGTCCTTAAAAAGTCTGGTCCTGAACTAGTTCATAACCCTAATCTGAAACCGGTCTAAATATAGCGGTTTAATGTATAGAACAATACATCAATAGCAAACGAAATATTGTGTTTTTATTA